TCAAAACACTAGTTATAAAGATGCTTCATGAACTTTTGGGAAATGTAGAGAATGCCAATAAAGAGATAAAAATGGAAATGTGAATTATAAAAGGGAACCAGTCAGAAATGAACACATTATCTGAGATGAGAAGTATATTAAATGGAATAAACAAAGGAATAAACAAAGTGAATAAAGAAGAGGCTCACATACTCTATCTACAGGGCAGGAAAGCCAATCAGGACACTCAGAGTGGGAAGAAAAAAGATGCCAAGACTATGGGACACTATTAAGGCTCCAAATATTTGTCTGATCGGCGTAAGTGAAGAAAATCAAGATGTTGAACAGCTGTTTGAATAAATAATGATGGAAAACTTCCTAACCTGGTGAAGGAAATGTACATAAAACCCCAAGAAGCTCAGAGAATTCCAAAAATCAGAGATCCAAAGAGGCCCACACCAAGACACATCATAATTAAAATGCCAAAGGTTAAATACAAAGAAAGAATATTAAAAGCAGCAAGAGAAATGCAGTTTACATTAATACGTTGGCTAGGTGGAGGGGCAAGGGAGGGAGGGTGCAATTGCGGGGATCATAGATGTCTAACTAATGTACTGTATACTTGAAACTAATAAATAAATTTTTAAAAAATACTTGAATTTCCATTTCGACTAACACCATGAAAAGTAGCAGGACAGAAGCAGAGTTACTAATACAATCACCTGCCCCCCAAAACACACATACACACTTAGGAGTGGCATGATTAAGTCCAGTCACCTTCCACAAACAAAAACTCACGTGTCCTTGCCATCCCAGATGGTCTTTATAAACATCATCTCCAACTACAAAGATCTAGACTCTGTAATCATCTAGTGCACGTTGCCCTTGGGCCATCAAGCAAAATGGTCTACAATACAGACCAAAGGTAGAAGCTAGAAAAGCAGAGGTTGTTGGCCCAGAAGGAAGCTGCTGGTAAATGGGATTCTTCCTCACCTTCAAGTAGGTGTTAATCCTGTCACTACCTAAGTGGAGAATGAGAATATTCAGCAAGTGGTGACTACAGATGACAGGTGTCCCATTTATCTATTTTTCCTCGTGCCCACTTTGTCCATAAAATCAGAGTTCCCCACTACATCATCAAGGAAAAGGTTAGACCAAGTAATCTAGTCCACAGAAAGACCTGTACCAGCCTCACCTTCATACAGGTTAACTGGAAAGACAAAGGTGCACTGACTGAGCTGGTCGAGGCCATCAAAACTATAATGAGATATCACTGGGAGGGAACCTGGTAAAGAAAATGGTTCAAGGGCTTATCATAAAACTAATTTAAATGTACTCTGTTAACTACACTGTAAATAAAAATAAAACATCTCCTTAAAACTAAAAACTATCAAGGTATTAGTCCCAGGGAATAAAAACTAGGCTGTAACATCCTATCCGACCCTAAAGGTGAGGAAATAAAATCACACACAAAAAAGAATTTTTGGAAAATTTGGGACCTCATTAAAAATTACTGTCGGGAAATCCACTTTGTTATGTTTTAACCAGGAGTCAGGCAGCAGCAGTAAACTTCTTAGTCCGTACTATTGATTATAACAGGGGTCAATTATTTGGACCAGATGATACCTCTGACTTTTATCAGTATCAAAAGTCATTAAGAAGAACTTCTGTAGATATTGTGGCTGTTAGGGAATTATTGCCAGTGTTGTAAAAAAAGCTTTGTACTGTCAGGATGATTTTAGCAGCAAGTATGTGTTTACATCCAATCTTCAAACCAACTCAAAGTGGCTTTAAAAAACAAACAAACAAACAAATTTACTATGTTGCATGAAAACTTGAGAGGCAAGATCTTTCGAGGATTGGCCACTTTAGGGGCTCAACAATGTCATAAGGCATCCCTATTCTTTCTATTCCCTGTGTTGCCATCCTCGGCACAGTCTTTTGTCTTGAGGATTATCTCCCTCTTGTGACAACAGGTAGAAATTGGCCATTCTTCACTACTAGGAATGGTCTGAGTGAACTTCTCTTGTAACACTGCCCCAAATTCACAAGCAGTTAGGAAGCAATCAGGAGAAAAGAATAGCCTCACACATGAAGTATAAACAGTCTTTTTATTATACTCAAAGTTGATAAAACTGAAAAAAATTAATTTTCTCTTTAAACAAAAAAATATGGATACCCAAATAAGTAAAATAACACAATGGCCAATAGTTAATCTCCCTCTTCAAAAACAGCACTACATGTATATATCCTTCAATCTGGTAACTTTTTATAGTGTTTTACTTTTCTTAAAAAAACATATTAATCACAATTTGTTAAATTATTCTGATATTACATTTGTAACAATCATCTCTTAAATATTTAAATACCATTAGAATACAATTTTGATCATTTCGGGAAATTTCCATTTCGACTCAATGAAAAATATCTATATATTTACATACTTTACTCTTTTCAGAGTAGGTCACCTCCAGACCTCTTGGAATATTTTACCCTTTTCTACGAAAGTGCATGCAACTCATAAGTTCTCTGAACTTCAGTATTAAGTAGTTGTCTTTCCATGCTTCATAAATACTTCTAAATTTGTCATAACCTTCTTTTTCCAGGTTGAAATCTGATCCAATTTTTTTTTAATAACTGACTTTTTTCCATATTTCTCTCCAGGAGTCTTTGAGTTTTTCCAAATAACTTTCTTTTTTAGATTCTTCCTTCCATATTCCTTCTTTTTTTTTTAAGGCTATTAGCTCAGCTTTAAGTAAGTTTCTGTGAATTTTCCAATATATTTTAGAATCGTAATTCAACCCTGGAACATGAACAGTTTTGCCAAGGCCTCTTCTCAAAATTTCTTCATTTAGATTCACACTAAAATACTTACCCTTGAATAAAAAATAACACAAATCAATTATTTAAGAATATCGTTAGTATAACCAATAACATCTATTTACTTTAAAAGCAGTCATTCAGCAACTTTAGTCTTCCAGGGAAAAGCCAAAAGTATAAAGCAAAAGAGTCCTCAAGAACTTAAAACAGCTAATGCTAAATCCAAGAATTTCATTACTGGAAGAGATCCTTGGCTCAAAGTCAACTATCACGTCTATGATATACTGTTCTCCACAGGCTAATAAGTCTCCTAACCTAAAGAAGCAAACAAGCAGCAGAGTATACATAAAGCGTTTTTTGGTTTCTTTGCTGTTGTTTGGAAGGGGAATGAAGCACAGGAGATAGGCACAATGACAGGAGGCCATAGCAGAAGAAACTAAAATGTACGCAAATGCAAAACAGAACTGAATCGTCACTGAACCATTAAATTAGGTTCAGAATTCCAGTGTTTAGGAAGGCACTGGCATGTAAATGAATTTTTAAAAGGCTTTCCACAAAATAATTAACATAAAAATGGGCTTGGCCTTGAAGCTCCGTCCTTTGGGAAATTTCATCTGTGGAACGCCTCACTTCCTAAGGACACCGGGTAACTGGGGATTTTCCCCCACTAATTAACAGTATAAAGGAGATCCTGTGTAGCTATTTGTATAGTCCTCATGGGATTTTTAACCTAAAAAGATTAATTTTAACAAAGTATTAATAACTTCATAGCTTCATTAGGCAAGTAAGTTATAGTTAAATTCTAAAAATGTGAAAACTCCAGTTTTAAAATAGGAGATATTTTCTAGGACTATCTAAAGAAACAGTAACTTTTTACTCCTGTAAGTGCAATAACTTTGGTATATGATACTAAGGAGTTAATATAGTTTTAAAGGTTTATCATATTTTTCTCAATCTTTTACATTTTAAGAGCTCATTCCCTTAAACTAAAATCAGAAAAATTAAAATTCAACCTCACACTAGTAAAACTCAACAGATGTAAGTTACCACAATATATATAGAGCATAGTTTGGTCACCCTCTAGGAAGCAATATAAGGTGAAACACATAAGGTGAACCATGGGCTCAGGAGCCCAGGAAGAGCTGGGCTTGAATACAGGCTCTTCCGTTTGGTCACCCTGCATCTCACCTGTAAATGGGAATAAACACAGTCACTCGAGTCATAAGGTGGTTTTGAGGACAGATAAAATATACTCCTCAACTTAGAAGATAATATTTTGTAAGGCCTTTCGCATCTTTTATATAATTTTGTATTATCAACTTACTTTTAAATGTAAGATGCTTCAACAAATCGGTGTTGGATAATTCTTATTTTGAAAGAACTGAATATGATTTGGACATGCAAAAATTTATGGATTTCATTAGGCTATTATTAATAATTCAAAAAATTTTTAAGAATTAAAATGATTATAATTCTAATCACGTTAATGTGAGGTTTTTTTCTTCAGATTATTCTTGTTTGTTATATAATTAGGGACTTTAAAAGTAAGAAAAACTGCTCTTAATCCTGTCATAATAACATTTCAACTATTTAATTTTTCCATGTTCTTTTTTCAGTAATCACCTACCAAAAATCTAGAGGAAGGCAGTCAGGACAGTGACACAGCAACACCAGGACTGAAGGACTCAGGACAGTGACACAGCAACACCAGGGCCACAGACGGACGGAGCTCTGGGCATTCCCAGTTACACAACAGCCACAGCCAATCATAAGGGTAAGAAAACTCAGATGACTAACTGCTGATCATAAACAGTATTTAAATATGTTCAACTTCAGAGTTCAAAGATTGAGCAATATTCACCTTCAGAAAATGCCCTTGCTCTTTCTAGTTTCCAGTTGACAAGTGTCACTCAACAAGTGGTTTGACATCATATACTCACACATAAATAAAAGTATAAAGATTCTCCTTAAATCAGCAATGTCGGCAACGTCCAGACTCATCGATAATTCTAAGTTTGTGTCCTTTTTCTTAATTTTCTATTTATTCAATAATAAACATATATCACTTAAATTTTAAAATAAAATTTACATATGAAACATAGTTCTCTATAATCACTATGAGTAACATTTTAAAGACAAAAAATATTCAGTCTCACTATGTATTCAAGGTTCTAATTAATGACATGTTTATATATAATAAAAAGAAGAAGACATTGCTCATTATTTCTTCACACTACTCACCTTATTCACCAAAAGATAGCAAAAGAGTGCTGAATTCTCCTTTCCAAGAAGTTGGAACCATAGTATTTGGGAAGGTTTTAGCTCTTTCTGTAACCACACCTTCCCAGTTTCAGTGAGTTCTACTCCAGCCAGCTTAACCAGCAGAAAACCATATGGCTCCTCTAAAAAAGGTTAGATAGAAGAGTTTACCTTTAATACTACTTCGCAAAAGTAGATTCCAAAATCACTTGGCCCTCAAAAAAACAAATGTTTATTTATAAATACCCAGGATATTCTAGATATAGGTCCACCTATTTCTTTTAAATCAAGTATATAATAGATGGAATAATTTCAAAAACCCAGAACAGGATGTGGGGTTTAACCAATTTACTTTTTAAACTTTCCAGATTTATTTCTACATATTTATCATATGTATACACATAAAGCTATAGATATGCAATTTAATATGGCTCTTACAACCAATAAAACTGTATAAACTGCTTTTCCACCTAATTTACTGAGGATAATTTCCCATCTCAATAAATATTGGTTTATTACTTTTTTAAACATTTTGTAAAACTGACTTCTAGACAGAATTTTATCAATTTATATTCAAAGTAACTTAGTATTAAAGTTGTTCACCCAAACCCTTGATAAAATTTTAACCAATTTAATTTCAAGAACAGGATTTTATCTTGGAAAAAGTCTATAACTTACCAAAAAGGGATATGGCTGACAAAAAATTTTTTAAAGTTTTTTTTTTTTTTAAAGAAATTATACATTTAACATTTGTTGGGTTCTTATAGAAGTAGTTGAAGATATAAAGTTAAATTCATCTAATCTCCAGGAAAAAAATAATACTTGAGTTTAAGAAGATGTCCAGGAACACTTCTACAATATTATTTGATAATAAAAAACGTTTTTAGGACACTGGCTTCAATTAGAAAAGTATCGAAAGGTGTAAGTAGGAAGATTATGCCCTTAGCAAAAATCTGGGATATAGTAAATATACAAATTAAAATTAGGCAAAACATACAATAAAGATTAAACTCTTATCATTGGTACATAATGAGTTAAGGGACGCCTGAGGACTCTGAGTTCTCCAGTCCTTTTACGTCATCAGCACCAACTGCCTTCCAGTAAAACATCCTCTGGTCTTTGAGACCAAAGCTTTTGGGACCAAAAACAAATCTAATTTAATACTATATATCTTAAGTAATAATTTCCTAAGTCTTCATTTGACAAAAGGTCATTGGATTTCTTTAAAATTAGCAAATTCTCCATTGAGCATTTAAAATATGAGGTGGTCAATAAGATTTTTTAAATACACCTTCCAGGAACAAATCTACTGAAAAAGGTAAATAATACCCTTCATATATTTTCACCAAAACACTTGAGCTTTTTTGAAAAAGCAGATGTCACATTTAAAGCTTATAGTTTCTAATTTCAGCTTTGTTTCTGTGATTGGATCCTTCCATCTTCCCAGGTCTTCAACAAATCTTCTATGCATATATTAAAAAAAAAAAGCCCAATTCATACTGGACAGGATACCACAGGCAATGCTAAAAGGTTATGAGGGGACAGCAACATGGGCTCAGGTGCAGTGGAGCATTCTAAGGAAAGTAAGATTTGGGTTCTGCGGAATGAACAAAGCAGGGGCAGGAGTAGGGACGGAGCATGTCAGGTAAGGGACAGACCACTGGCACATGGAAAAACTGCAGACATGAGACAAATATTGAAGTCAATCATCACTACTAAGAAATTTGTTATATTTCTGCTCCATCAGGTGGGTAGGAAATGTGGTGACTAAATGTTATCAGGGTTTTTAGAAAAATAGTGCATGATACAAAACTGATTTGTATCCTAATCATATCTCATTGAAGAGAGTAATATTCATTCGAGGGTAAAAAAACAAGAACTCCTTCCTTCATTAAATTAACAAATATTAAGATCTTTAAATATAACTAAATTAATTCATTTGACAAATCTCCACTGTCTAAAAATTATTTTTCTAGAGACTGTGAATACTGAGGTAGCCACAAGGGGGCTCACAGTTTGGTGGGAGGATATAAACCTAAATACATGATTATAGGAAAAAGTGTTTAAGCACTGTAATTGAAGTGTGTAGAACTGCTGTGGGGTATAGTAAAGAGGCTCATTCTGCTTGGGAGTTAGGGAAAGTCACTGAAGAGCTGACATTTGAATCGGATACTAAAGAATCAGTTGGAGTTCAACAGGAGCAAAGAAGTGTGCCCAGGGGCATGAGAACACACATAGGCCGCAGGCCAAGTCTGTGTGGCTGGGGTCTTTAACATGAAACAGGGAGAAATGGGAACTGCAGCAGGACAGATCCAGTCCCCGCCCAGCTTTCCAATTTCCTTTGGTGACTCTTGTACCCTTCTTTCCTATGCCCACGCCACAGGAGCTGTCTGTCATATGGCTTACCAAAGCCAAGCTCATTCCTACCCACGTTCTCTCATTCTTCAGGTATCTGATGAAATACCAACTCCTCAATGAGGCTGTCTCTGACCACTTTATAGATATAGGTTCCCCTTCACATGACCTCCAATAATTCAGATCCTCGTACCTTGCTCCTTTTCTTTATAGCCCTTATGACAATTATCATTTGTTTGTTATCTATCTTCCACCTAGACTGTAAGCTCCAAGAGGTAGAGTGGTCTTGTTTGTTTCACTCAGCACTCACTATACAGCTAGTATAGGGCCTAGAACATAATAGATGCTCAATGTTTGTAGAATGAATGCTTGAATGTCTGAAGGAGATACTGAGTGGTTGGGGAAAAAAAGGAGATAGGAAGAAAGGAAATCAAAACTAAATTAAATAGTTTCCTGTATGTGAGGCCAAGAGTGTGGAGTTATTAAAAATTAAAATATTTTTTGCTATTTTAAAAATAACTTCTAAAAAAAGGAGCACTAAAATAGTTATTTAGCCTTATTCTTGCACCTTACTTACTTCTCCATGAAGATATAATAGGTAAAGTAATGGGAACATGTTCAATTTCTAAACCATTCTCAGTTATTCGGCGTAATCGTCCACGTAATTTAACATTCTTCCTTATAAATTCTACTGGAATATCTGAAGAACTTGTAAATTTTGATGTCTGCTGATTTACAAGGAGAAAAATACATTTTGTTGTTATTTTCAGTTTAAAAGTATGTCAAATTGTTATCTAAACATTGAACAAGACATAACCATTGAAAATTTTTATTTGGTTCACAATTTCATATTAATATTTTAATATAATTTAATCAAAGTGTTTATAGGAACATCATTTAGAGATTTTTGTCACTATTTTACTATCTCAGGCTATGATATAGAGAACATTAAACAGACTCCTAACTTCTAAAAGCTTACATCCTCAAAATATGACGCAATTCATCAAAAAGCAGTGAGTATAGTGAATATAGATCTGTACCTGGCACCACACAAGTCTAGTTAAATAGTCACTATCCTATTCTATAGATGGACAATCTAGTCATCTAGGTACTGTTTGGAGAACGTAAACAAAGCTGAGTCAAATTAAATTAAAACTCTTATTCAACAAGATTTTTTTCTTATTTTTTATCTTATAGTAGGAAAAGGTGCCCCTAAAAGGCCCACATTAGGAATTTTATTAAATATTTAACACCTAATGCCCTGGAGTTAGTAAATATTTTACACCTATGTCTTCACATTAATGTACTAGAGGAACAAACTTCATTCGTAATCATGGCTAAAAATAAATGGCTTACAAAACCAGGGAGGTGTTATAAGAAAGAACCTATTCTATATGAGGTTAAAAATGAGTTCAAAGCACCAAAAAAATTCGAAAAAGAAAAGAAGATAAAAGTGCTGACATGGAGTCAGGGGGAAAAGACAACAGTTCAATATAAAATAATAAATGTAGGAACTAAATATACACAGAAGCACTAAATCCATGCCAGATTGCAACGTGACACTAAAATTACATCCTATGGCAGGTATCAGTTATACTACAAAAATACTTGTAAATCTTGAAACATCAAATGAATTTCCACATGTCTATTATTAAAACATTATTGACAGGGCAAAAAACATGCTAACTGGAAGCGTAATTTTTTTTTTTACTCTGTACATCTTGCTTTATTCATTGAACAATAGATCTTAAATACTCCTGCAAATCTGAAAAAGCATAAATTACTCAGTGTAAAGGGACATAATTCACCTGTGATTTGAATCTAAAACCACTATGGAAAACAGTTTTGAGATATTCTTCAACATCTGAAATGCAAAATTTAGTGATTACACCATTCTAGTGAACTAAATCCTTTTCAGATTCCTTTTTAAGCATGAAGAAAGTAATTATGGAAATAGAGGCTGTGCAATTTACTTTCCATAAAATCCTGTGGATATGTTACTTTTAAACCAAGATCTTAAAATATGTTCATTTGTTCTAAAATACTTCTATGTTCATTGTTCTAAAATGCTTCTAAAATGCTTCTAATATGAATAACAAAATGATACACTGCTTGAGATTAAAACTGTCTGAAGTGAGAAAAAAATTAACTGTCTATTGCTTATCATAATGCCTTATTTTTTAACTTACCAGTCGAACACTTCTTAGAAGTAACATTATTCCAGCTATGGCCATTACGGTGCTGACGCTCTTTTTTTCTTCAGAAAGAGATTTAATGATTAATTCTCACTAATTATTATTCACAATAGTAAAAGTACTAATAAGAAGGGGGAAAAAAAGACCACCCTCCCTATATCCAACTATCCAAATAAGGCATATTCTTTAATTAAAGGCCCACTTCTTCCAAAAAGCTTTCTTAACTGCCTGCCTACCCATTAATCTTCCCCTTTTTATCCCAAACAATCTGGCATGGATGGTAATTATTCACATAATATTGTATTGTTTTCTGTTAATTGTATTACTTTAACCATGAGTTCTTTGAAAGCATGAATTGGTCTTATACTTCTTGTGCAATGTCCACAGTAACTCACAGAACCCTAAGTCTACAGTGGGAATTTAAGTATTTAGTAGAAAACTTTATCGCCAAAACTTTAAAACATAGTACCTTGGGAAATATATATGGGTAAACAGTTGGAAAAACTTGGCCATGTTTTTATAGTTTTTCATTTAAACCGAAACAGACCTAAAGGATTTTAATTAAAAAATAAGAACCCTGCAACTCTCTCACCAAGAGTGATAATCTGACATGCTTTCCTTCAGTAAATACAACTAAGTATATAAGAAACGAAGTTGAAAACATACACAAGGGTGCATTCTCTGATGGCTTATTTGGCATGTGCTAACCATGTGCTAACTTAAACACTGTTCCCTTGCCCAATTCTGCTGAAGTCATTTTTCAATTTGAAATAAACCATGCATCTCTTCCTGCTCACCTGGAAGAACTACAGGCCTTGTCAATTAACATATATATGTCTACTATTCATTAATGCTGCAAATATTTATCTAGCACTAAGTGGTGGGCACTACTTTATGGACTAGAGCTGCACTACTGAGTGAAAACAGACACGGTCCTGCCTTGCGCTGCTTGTGCAGAGTATTTGCGAAGCTAATGATCCTACTCAATTTCTCAGCAGAATTCAAGAAAGTTAATCATTCCTTCTGAAAATATTCTCTTCACTTGGCTTCTAGGACATCTGGTTTTCCTTCTCCTCCCTCACTGTTCCTTCCTAATCTTTGCTGATATCCTCCTTTTCACTCCCGAAATTCTAAATGTTAAAGAGTGCCCCAGGTTTCAGTTCAAAACTAGGGACTCCTGTAGCTTTTCTGACTCGCTCCAAGATGTCATCCAAGCTTTAAAAACTACTGAATGTTCATTCTCAAAGATATATGTCCAGTCCTCACGTCCCTTCAACGCGAGACTCCTATAACCAGTTACCCAGAACATCTACTACCTTTAGGAGTCTAATGACCATCTCCAAGTTCACACGTCTTCATTTAGAAGTCTAATACGCATCTTCAAGTTCACATGTCCAAAAAGTTCTCCAGATTTCCCCCAACAAATTATTTACTAAAACTCCTGCTTATCAGCAACTTTCACCACCATCCACCCACCAGGCAGCGGCCTTGATTCCTCTCTTTCTTTACACATACCCCACACCCAAACCATCCACACCACCACTCGGGTCTTGGCTACAGTCCTCTCGCGCCTGGTCATCTAAGGTGTCCCTCCCTTACTCGAACTCCAGTGACCTCAATTCGCTTAAAATTAAAAAGAAGGCAAACAAACAAAAACACAAAACTCCTTTCTCCCCAGGACCTACGTGCCCGCCGCCCGCCGCCCGCCCCCAACTCCTCTAAGGGACCCGCCGGCGCCCATAGCCGGGCTGCGT